AGAATGTCTTCAGCACTGTCTAACAAAAAGAAAAATGCAGCTGGCGGTGATCCATTTGCTGTGGCCGCTAATTTGATGCCGCCTTTTAACACGTCAGTTGGTGCTGTTGACCGCCGATCATCCTCAATGCAACAACAGTTCCTTGGACCAGTGCACATCAACACTCATCAGCCCTTGATGGGTCAACCAATGTTTGGCTCCTCAGTTCACAGCAGTTCAGGCTGCTTTGACGCCTATTCAGGCCCAACAAGTGGAGCACATTCATCCGAAGAGATGACTTCAAAATCCGAGCTGCTGCCTTCAGTCAACTCAGCCTTTCAGGTGCCCGTTCGCAACTCTAACAACAGTAGTAGCACTTGCTGTGTCATTGATGCCTTTAGAAATTGCGTGAACTGATCTTTTAAATGCAAACTTTATTATTATTTTTACCTCGTCATAAACAGTATTTAAAGCAGTTATTTTATAACCTATCATGTACAAAACTGGCAATTTATTTGTTAATAATCTTAAAAGTAATGTGGACAATAAATTAAGTAATCTGATGCAATGTGGTTGGTCAGTGGTCGGTGTGAACTGAAGGATCACCGTGATCACCGATTACTGTGCTCACCCAAACTGAATCATTTAAGAGCAACATGGTGTGAAAGTGTGGCAAAGTGTCAATTTGTGCACGTTAGCAGTCATCACCTGTCAGCTGTAGTGTACTGCGCTGTGCGAGGCCTCGTCGGCACACGTCAATGAGCCCATCAACTTTGACAGTCTTTCACTCAACGGTCAACTCCTCTTTTTGGTCGCGCCCACCGTTTTGTGTGCCTGTCAATCACGCTGAGAAGCAGCTGGTTAGACTAAAGCAGAACAAAGAAAGAAAGAGAGAGAGAGAGAGAGAGAGAGAGAACAGTTGTCAATGTTTGCCGACCCATGTTTTTGCCTGTGCCTTTGCCGCCGCCGTTGTTCGTCGTAGGTCACAAATTGGCTTGTTCACGCGTTGCAAAAACGCCTAAGTGTTGCTAATTGGCCGATAATTGGTCAATGAGGGCCACCTCTTTTCAAATACGTGGGTACGCTTCAATCAAATGACTGGTCCGGTGGAGCATTAATCAAACCAACTTTGACTTTGATTTGTGAGCCCCACAGCTATTATTTAAAAATTACAAACAAATTATGTTTTAAAACAGTTTTTTATAAACAGATTGTTTTAAATGATTTATTTTGTTGATTTGGTTAAAATTTACAAAAATCTAAAACAAAATTTGTTTTAACTACAAATTATTCTGTTATTAATTATTAATTATTAATCTTTTTTTGCTTAAGGCGTGAGCAAAGTTTAGTCAATTTGAAAAACAACTGAAATTATAGAGTTTCTCTAGAAGAGCCGACTGTAGTTGACAAGTAAAAACAACAACTGCTTTCATAAGACTTTGCAGTCAAGGTGTGAAAGGGCGGCACAATCACAAACAATCACAAGTAAGTAAGAAAGAAAAAATGAAAAGAGGCACAGTTACAAATGTGCAAATGGCAAGTCAATTGGCGTTCGAAAAAACAGATGCCAGACTAAATGTTCAGCAAAAGTGACTTCACTGATTATTGAAAAAAGAAAAATGAAACTAATAAGTCAGTTGATCTGGGTAAACACGAAAATGGCGTGGCACTCACACTGACAACCTCAAAAAGTTGCACACGTTGTCTGTCTCATTCAAAGGTTCAATTTAACACTAGAACAGCGTTCTTGAGGTTTAGTAGTGTGTAAAAAGCTAAAAAGTGGTTGTAACTGTCGTTGCTCAATGCTGTTGCCTTTGTTGCCCCTCTCAACTGCCTTTCAATCGGCGCTAGTCACGGCAAAATAATTCAATTTGCAATTGTAATCGATAGGCGATGCATTGGAAGAAACTCACAAACCAATTGAACGACATTCAGACTGGCAGAAAGCAAACTGCATCTCATTTGGCCTGCTAATTGATTTGCAGCAAGCTGCATCACACTGCACTAAACATGTGATGATGATCTTGCTCGATAATCGATTCTTGATCAGTGATGACGGCGTCTAGTCGATAATTTGCCAGTCGCACGCAACTCACTAATTCTGCCCTCCTCCTTCTTTTTTTGCTGCCTCTCTGTGATAAAGCTCGTTGCGCCGACATTTGATGCCTTGCAAGCGTTTAAATGCTAAAAAATAGACTCAATAAAAGTTTTCTTTTTTTGAAAACTCACCCGACTAATTGCTCAACACAGAAAGCATGTAATGACGGTTGTGTCTTTGTGTGTGTGAGTCTCACCTCAATGATGATAATTGCCCTTTTTTTAGCAGTTTTGCTTTGAGTACCTTTAATGTATGTTGCTCTTTTTTAGGTGACGGGGCAGTTTCCGTCTATAAGATGCCGCCAAAGCGTAGAACTGTGAACATTGTCAAATGACACTATAATTACCAGTTGACTTGTTGTACAAATAAATTCAATGTTTTTTATTTTTGCCCAACTTAACTTATTAAAAACTATCATGTATGTTCAAAACAAAACATAAAAAACATGAATTTGTATTGTATTAAGTTAAGATTTGGTTGCTGATTAAAAACAGTAATTTAATTTTAAACTACATAAAGAATGACTAATAAAATTTAAAATGCTAATCAAAATATATTAAAACTTTAAATTTATAAACTGATAACACATAGTCAATGGAACAATACTAACATTTCAAATATTATCCAAATTTTCATTTGTTAAGGCAAAATTTAATAGCTTTTAAAGTACCAACTTTAACCTAACTATGCTTGTAACGCTTAAAAAATCAGAATACATTTACTGACTGCTGATGATGATCCACACTAAGCGTTAATAAAGCAGTGGTGGTCAACAAATGTGCCAGGCAGCAGCAGCAGCAACAGCAACAACAACTGCAATAGATACTTTACTTAAACTTCAACTTAGCATATTTTTCAGTAATGATTATTAAGATTGGTGTTGGCAGCTAGCAAGGTGCTAAGGTGCTAATTGCCAGGTAGGTGTGACAGAAGAGTGAGACAGGGATACGGCGAGGATGAAGAGGATCATGAGCGAGTGGTGATGAGCCAGTGCTGCACCACCACCACCACGTTAAACGGTCTTGGCTGAAAACTCACACTAACAGACAAACCGAGTGAATCGCTCAACAGAAGACGGCTCAGACACACACACACACACACGTCATCACAAAACAGTGTGCCTAATTGCTAATTGATGACACTTACAAACTGAGACAGAGAGAGCAAAGCCGTCATCATTGGCCACAGAGAGAGAGAGAGAGAGAGAGAGAGAGAGAGAGACTGGTAATTTAGATGAATGGACTTTGAGGATTGTCAGAACGTTTACTTCTAAGCTCACACAGGCAGATGGTGGCATTTAAAGGTTGGCAAACAGGGCAGTGAGAGTGGTACATTTTGTAAGGTGGTGAGTGTTTGGTGTTTCCAGTAAATGAGAAGGCATCAATTTAGACACCAGCAAACAATTAGTAGGTTTGCGCCGTCCTGTGCGACTTTTGACTGCTAGTTGGCTGGTTTTGTCTGCTGCTGTTGCCGTTTCTGTTGCACAGACGGAAAAACAGATTTTAAATGCAAATTAACACCTGAAAGAATTAAAGTTTTGCAAAGATAAGTGCCGACGAGTGCTTTTCCTTTTCAAAGTCATCATTTAAACTTTGTCAAGTCAATCTACAGCAGTGCAAGGCGGCCAACTTCATAATCGTCCAGTAATGGTGTGCTTTATTAAAATGGTACCCCACAAAAGACTTTTTAATCTTTTTGTCAAATAGCAGTTTAACAGACTGTTGACATGGGTTTTGAATATGTATCTTAAACAATAAATATCATGTGCAAAAATTAATGTAAAAAAGAATATTCAATTAGTAAACATGTTTTACACTGGTTATGAATAAAATTAGTGTGAAGTTTGTAGCCTTTTTGTTTTTCAGACAATAGCGTTAATACTAAAGTATTTAAATCACAAACATCTTTAAATAATACCTTGAACAAACAAACTTTAAAAAACAAATTGTTTGCAGTTGATAAAATAATGACAAACGTACACTTTTTGACAGTGCCAAACAACACTTTTAAGTCTTTGCCAAAGGTTAACTTGATTATAAAAACACATTTTAAATGTTGTTTTCTAGATGACAACCAAACAATTTAAACTGTACATAGGTTTGCACCCAAAATATTTGAATGTCTAAGTTACTAGAGAAGACATGATTAAAACTTGATTTGATTAGCATATAAAAGAACATTTTAGTTTGTGCAAATGTGTGTATTGCTTTTCTTTTTTATTTTATAACTAAAACTTGAATCAAGTTTGTAACTTAACAGTTTATAAAATGAAGGGATACGTGCTTGCGGTTGCTTTTGCTGTGTGCTTTGTTTTGGGTAAGTAAACACATTTTTTTGTATTAACAAAGCAACTCAAATTAATTTGTTTATAGCAATTGCCGATCCTCTGCCAAATGAGCTGAAAGAGTTTAATGAAAAGTTGGCTGAAGCAAAGAAAGCTTTAGCTGATGCCAAAAAATACCTGGCCAGTGACTACATTCAAAACTTTGCTACTATTCTTGAAAGCGGAGTTGAAAAGCTGCATGTAAGTCGCCAGTAAAATCATTATAACTCACAAACTAACTTACACATTACGTTTTAATGCACAGGAAACTACTTTGGCTCAACTGAAAACCACCACTGACCAGGCAAAACGACAGGAAATAATCACCTATGCCGTTAAAGCGTACACTCGTTTAGTCAAGTTTTTAGATGAAATCAAAAACACTGTTCAGTAAAATGATTGTAATTTTAAAACAAAAATAAAAAAGTTGTTCCAATCAAAAGCTATTTTTAAAGTCAAGTTTTACAAATTAAAAATGTAACAAACAAAATAAAAAATGTGTATAAAATTGGTTTAAAATTATTAAAGCAAAACAATAGTTTATAACAATAAAAAATATTATAAAAATAAAAATTGAATAAACTTGAAATTATAAATCTACTATTTGTTAGCTGCTTCCAGTTTGCCATTGTTTTCCACAATGTTATTATTGTTGTTGTTGGTAGAAACAGCGTCAAGCTCAATTTTAATGACCGGAATTGATGATGGCTTCTCCGACTTCTTCTCCGACTCCTTAGTCATTGTGGCCAGGCTGAAGTAAGGTCGGCCCTGGCCAAACACCGCCGAATCAGAGGCGCGTTGGGGCAGGTACTCGTTGAGCGTTTCGGGGAGGAAACTGGCCAGAAAGGCGGCAAACAGGCAGATGGAGCCGATGATGGCCAGCGGGATCCAGGCACCGAATTTGGCCTGAGTTTTTTTTTAAAAAAAGTCGATTTTAGCAATGACGTAAATTGATAACTGTGTGAACTAATCTGTTAACTTACCATGTACACCAGCTGAGGAACGCTAATTCCGACCAGTGAAGAAATGGTGGCACAGAGGCCGATGCCTTGGTTTCTCAGTGTGGTAGGAAAGAGCTCTGAGGCGTGCTGGTAGACGACCATGTACACGCCGGCGATGCCAAACTTGCCGATCACCGTGCAGACGGTGAGCACCGTTTCGCTGTTCCGATCGGGCGCAAAGGAGGGCGCTATGAGGGCGAAGCCGCACAGCGCCAGGCCGAAAACGTCCGTCCAGCGACGGCCGAGGCGAGTGTCCAGCAGGTACCAGAAGAGAATGAGGGCGGGAATGTCCACCATGGAGAGGATGAGGAAGTTGTACAGCTGCGAAGTGGCCTCCAGGTTGATGGTGTTGTAGGCGATGCCGCCGTAGCCGATCAGACAGGCGATGAAGACAAAGGTGATGATCACCGTTTTGCCGCGGAGGCCCTTCAGGAAAAAGAGCTCTGTGAAGTTGTCCTTGTGGTTGCTGTTGCTTTCTTTGTCTTTGCCGTCCACGCCATCCTCGATGCTTTTGTCCTCCAGTGACTGAATGTCGCTCATCAGCGTGGGCGGCACTGGGCGGCCGTTTATCTTGGCGATGCGCTCCAGTTCTTTGTACGCCTCGGCGTAGCGTCTTTTGGAGATGAGCCAGAAGGGAGACTCGGGCAGCCATCTAAAAGGCGAAAAACAATTTTGTATTCAAAACTGTTTTTGCATTTTTTAACTCTTACTTGTATGATAAACAGTAAGGTACAGTCAGAAAGAACTGCACTAGTGTAAAGTACCACCAGTCGCCAGTTAGTTTGGCAATCACCGGCATCAAACAGCTTCCCAGTGAGTAAAAGATGGCCGACAGACAACTGGATCGAGTTCGGTATCGCTGACTAACTAGTTCTTGCGCTAAGTGAGGAAATTAAAATAAAACATTTTGTAGCTACAACTTAGACACATTATGAAAAGCATACTCATCACAAAAGGCAGCTGATAGTAGACGTTAATGACGCCACCGGCGATAAAACGAACAATGATAAAACTGGGCAAATTTTTAAACACTAACGGATTGGCGCAGCACAGGACGGCCAAAGTAAAAGTAAGGAGCAAGGTTTTTCTGCGGCCAATTCTAAAAGTTAATGAAAATATTGTTTAAGTTTAATGCAATTCAGAAGATAGTTTTAAACATCATCTCCTCAGTCAGTTACCGATCAGAAAGATTTGAAATGATAGGCGTCAGGACGGCCAGGCCAATTAGCGACAGTGAGAGAATGTTGTTGGCGTAGTAGTCATGATCACAAACAAAATTGTACTTTGAAATTTAAGTAAAAAGGCAAAAAAAAATTAGCAAAAATTTTGCAATAGAGTCAACACCTACCCATGAGATGGGCGTCTCCGAGTAGAGCGACTGGTCGTAGAGGTAACCGTCGGAGCAGCGCACCACCGGCACCTCGCCCAGCGTCGAGTAGTTGGTGGAGCTGACTAGGTAGCTCTGCAGGTCGGTCATCGATCGAATGGACTGGTAGTTGATGTCGTAGCGGAAGCAGGTGGCGTCCTTGCCGCTGCTGTTCGCCGGCCTGATCAGCTGCTGCTGCACAGACTGGGGCAGCTTCTCCAGGTCGGAGACGCGGCACCAGTGATCTGGCGTGGCCATCAGAATGATCGAGTCGTAGAAGGGGTTGAAGAGCGAGGTGGGCAGGAGGAGCAACGCCATTAGCCATATCTGAAAGGGGCCCTCGTCGCCGATTTGAGCAAGAATATCTTCAAACTGCATGCTTTTATGATGATGTTATAGTTGATGAAAGCGTTGATGAGCGTCTAGTTTGAAAGTATGACAGCTAAATAAAAAACATTTGAAATGGTTTGCAAAAAACTAAAAAAAAGTAAAATCTGCTTAGCGGTTTAAAAAACTGAAACTGATCTGCTTTTTATGTAAAATAAAAACTTTTTTAAAGTTGCTTTTTGCCAGCGTTGTCACCACTAGGCAGGCAACGTTGTGATTTTGTTTTCTTTCTTCTGTGCTTTTCCGGCTTCAGTTTCAGTCCTGAAGTGATGGGTGTCTCAAGTAGAGCACTGCACCGTACTATCAACGTTACAGTTGGGTATCCGTTTTCTTTTCGAACTTATTCAAAGGCAATCACGAGTTGATAAAAAGTGGGCCGGCGGTAGCTGTCAACAAAAAACCGCAGCTGCAAATGAAATTGTCTTTTTTACCTTTTATTTTTATCTTACAAACAGTGTAAAACGATTAAGCATCAACAAAAAAATGAAATTTTTTACCAAGTTTCAGTGCTTAAACTAGGGTTTAACAAAAATGAAACTGTAATTCATTTTACAACAAAGCATCGCGCACTTACGGCCAGGCCACTAAAATACAGTTAATTATTAAAAAGACTAAAGTAAAAGATAAAGTGAACTGAAAAACAACAAATCACCACTTGACAGATAGGCTGATAGAAGTCATTTGGCGGCTGATAAATTGATAACCCAAAAGCAAGCAAAAAAGTTCACTACTTGTTAGTGTTAAGAGAAAGAGGGTGAGAACCCCAAAAGCAGATATAGAAAAGACACTGAAAGATGAGAAATGGTGAACTGGTTACAAAACGGTGTACTTTTCACTGTTTGTGTCTGTGTGAACAGTAAGTAAACTACTGAACTAGTTTAAAGGTCAATAGCATTTTATTGCTTTTTTGATACTCCTTTTTTAAATGTTAGTTAGATTTTGATTGGTCAAAAATTGCTAAATATGCAAGCTTGTTAAAAACTAAATCATTTCATTCTTATGGTTTTTGAAATACGTTTGCCGCCGTTTAATCTAGACTAGGCCAGTACGTTTTATCAACGTCGGCGTTTTGCAAATCATAAAAGACTGAATACAGTGACTTCTTTTGAGTATGATCGTTATAAAAAAATTTTGTTTGAAATGATTATCAATTTCGGCGATAGCAAATGATTGAATGACTTTATTGGGACATTATAAAGTTCAAAACAGTTTCAGTTGCTAGATTGAAAGTTAAAAACAAGATAGTATCTAGTTTAGTATCAGTCATTTTAATATTCGAACAGTTACATTACTAGGCTTTTAAACATTTTCTCTATAATTGAAGTTAAATATCTAATAAATGATTGATCATTTGAGTAATTATTATTAATAATATAAAACAAAAAGTTAGTTTAAACAAACCTCGTTATAAAAAATAAATTAATTTAAACAATTAAAATATGTAACCAATCGTTTTCTAAACTTCGATTCACAATAACATTTTTTCAAAATAATAAAGTTACATTAATAAATTGAGCAGTACTAATTATGACAATAACGTTGTAACAGAACGTTGACAAGAGGTGCCCGGTGAACAAACATCATCTGCATGTATCATCCACAGTTTTCCCTTTGCAAATTAAGTAACAAACGCAAATTTACAGTTTGCTGTTGCAATTTTATTTTATTTTATTTGACAAATGTAGTCGTATTCTCCTAGGAGAGCAATGTGCAAATAATCAAATGTTACTACCAAGGCAAATGCATAATGCAAAGGAAGAAAAAACGAGTGATTGACAAGCAATTACGGGTGCAAGATCAAATTGATTTGCACCTCTAAGTGAACGTTTCCGCTTGACTGGTCTCCCGTTTGATGTGTGTGCTCTTTGGAAGCCACTGGAAACTGCAAATTAAATTTCAACGTTTTCATACAACGCAGTCAAAAAGTTAATTAAAGACAAACAGTTGAACACGACGCTTAACCCTACCCTACACGCCAACGCTACGGTTGCTGTCGCATTTTAGTTTTAAAGAAAAAAGACACATCTCATTGAAGTGTAAACTTTAGGCGCAGAAGAAGTGCAGTTTCTCCTCGCACTCGACATCATTCCAGTTGTACTCTCTCAGCTCGATGACTCCGCAATTTTCCGGTTTAGCGCCCAGTCCGTTTCCGCCGTTATCTGGCTGGGCAACAGCCCACGCGGAAAACTGGTCTGAGACCGGGCTGCCGTCGTCGTACTGCCAGAATCCCTCCAGCTCATCGTCGCTGATGCCGATCCAAAACTGATCAAATTACAATAATTTAAAATTTGTTTGCCACCAAAACTGTGTGGAATGTGCAATAACAATAGTTACTCACTTTAGTGTCTTTGATTTGCTTTTCCACAAACTGTTTGTTCGTCTTATTGCCGACGATGTTCACATCGAGGATTCGTCGGTAGAAGTCGCGGCCATATGCACCGTAGAAGGTGTTTTCTGCTTGGTTACGAGGTTGTGCCAGCTTTCTTCCCATTGCATTGCAGTACTCGTACGCTTCCCAGCGGGTCATGTTCTGCTCAACAAAAAAAGCTGCATTTTTATGTTTATTAGAGTTGTTTAGGGTTACTAAGACGATTCTACTAACGTTTTCGAGGGTAACAGGAGCCAGAGCATTTGCCAAATGTTTGACAGTAGTTGTCAAAAAGATACTTTTTCTATTGTTTAACAGATAAATGCAAAGTTTAAATAAACTAAATTTTGTAAAAAACTGTATACCTCCGATTCTGGGCTGGCCATTAAGTCGTAATAGTTAAAATCTTCATGTTCAGTCAGTTCATATGTTTCATTAGTGCAAAGCGATTCACCAAGCAAAATGCATGTTCCGTTTGCTCCGTAGTTAAACGCTTTGCAGTTAGGTTTTGTATTCATGCAGGCAGTCAAACAAAAGTGAAGTCTAGGAACATCTTCAAGACGAGCTAAAACTAGAACATTATCAAGAAAGTGCTGAGAGCGAAAAAGTGATGAAGCATAGCTGGTTTCAATGCCATTAGTGGTTTTGGCTGCTTTAACGAGAGGTAGCCAATTGTTTAAAGAAGCAGTCCATATTGCTACTGCTATGCAAAGCAACACAAGTCGAAATATGATCGACATGTTGGGACAACAGCTAGAAACACACTAATGTTTTGCAAAGCTTTAGGTACAACTTGTTCAGCAAAATTTCAGTTTTTGCAGATGCAGTTAATCAACTTTTAACCTTTAAAGAAACATTGTTATTGCATTACACGAAAATATACGTGTAAAATATGCATGTTAAGTGTACCATTTGTAGATAAACCGATTCTTTATTACAAACATTTGTTTATCTCAAACTTTTATTATATTATTTTTATAAAAAATTAATGAGTTGAACATGTTTAAACTAAAAAAGATATCTGGATAATTATTCATTAAAAAAATTTTGAAAAGTAATAAAAACAAACAAAATAACTTTGTTTGAATAACTAAATTAGTAGCACTGCTTTTAAATATTTGTTATACTTAAGTAAAACGTAATTAAAAAATATATTACAAGCAATTTTTGAATTTGTAAATTAAGTTTGCAATTTTAAAATTTTTTAAAACTAATATTAACTTTTTTACAATGCAAAAATATTTTTTGTTACAATGAAAAACGATAGCATTTTTATCATTTAAACTCACCAATCATTGATTTTTTATTCGAATGATATCATGACTATTTCTCCCTTCTTCAAGTGCCTTTTACGGCTGCTTTTCGGTGCAGTCTCAACGATCAACTGATTTTGCTGCAAGCATACGTTCAGCACGATAAGCGATTGTCCCTTCTCCTAACAGCTTATGTCAACTGGCCAATAAGCTTGCTGTTGCTATTTTCTCCGTTCAGTTGTTATTTACCATTTTTCGTTTCTAGTTTTTTGTCAATTTTTTAAACTTTTTTGGTTTTTGGGAAACTGGTTTTTACACACACAAAATGGCCCCTGTTTCGTACACTGCTGCACCGAATTTAGCTAGTCAGCAGAAGTTGAAGGTGGCCGTCGTCGGCGGCGGCGTCATTGGCGTTTGCTCAGCCCTAGCCCTTCAGCAGGAGTTTCCCACAGCCGAGGTGACCATTTTCTCTGAGAAATGGAGCCCCCAAACAACGGGTGACGTGAGCGCCGGCTTCATCTATCCGTACGCCGTTGGCGAGCAGACGCCACCCTGTCTGCTGAAGCGGACACTCGCCGACACTGTACAGTTCTACGAGCGGTTGATTCGCAATCCAGAGAGCGGCAAGTTTGGTCTCTCCCTGCTGACCATGTACGACCTGAGCAAGGAGGCGACCATGGCGGTGCCCAGCCTGCCCGAACTGTACGACGTGCGGCCAATGGAAGGCGCCGAGGTGGCGAAGATGTTTCCCGGATACCGGTCCGGAGTGGTGGCCACGACGTACATCGCCGAGCCGACGCTGCTGTTGCCCTTTCTCATGGGCAAATTTGAGGGCGCCGGGGGTCGACTGGTGACGCGAAAAATCACTGCTTTAGGTCAACTGACGGGCGACCATGATCTGGTGGTGAACTGCAGCGGACTGGGAGCGCGCTACCTCGCCGACGTCCAGGACCTGAGCGTTGAGGCGGTCAGAGGTCAGGTGGTGCGCGTCCGGGCGCCCTGGATCCGTCACGCCGTCATGGCCGGCCCCTCCTACATTCTGCCCAACCGAGACTGCGTCATTCTGGGCGGCACGAAGGAGCTGGCCAACTACAACCTTAGCCCCGATCCGGCCACGGCGGAGCTCATTCTGCGCGACTGCGCCCAGGTGGTGCCCTCGCTGCTGGCGGCGGAGAAGATTGGCGACTTTGTGGGGCTGCGTCCCTATCGGCCCTCGTTGAGAATTGAGGCGGACGCCCGCAACCGGAAAGTGATTCACAACTACGGACACGGCGGGTCGGGGGTGACGCTGTGCTGGGGCTCGGCGCTGGAGGTGGTCAAGCTGGCTAAGAAGGCTCTGGGTGGCAAAGGAATGAAATCTAAACTGTAATGTAGACTATTTCTGAGTAAAACATTGGAATTATACACAATGATATGTTGAGTTTTTTTGCTAAATTGTAAACAAAAGATATAAATAAAATATAGGTGTAATAAAAGCAAACTGGTGTCTTTGGCCAAAGATTTATGAGTAAAAACGTTTTCATGTTACTGGAGAAAAATGTCAACTATATATTTTGCTAAAATTAATAAAACAATGCAATGTTAACTGTTTAGTTTTGCGTAAAAATAAAATATTGTAAAAAATTAATAATAGAAACTGAAACACTACAAAATTGTAAAAGTTAAAAACTAAAAGTTTGTTTTAAGGTTTTTTAAGTACGTTTCTGTATTTAAGTAACAGTTAAAAAATGATTTTAGTACATTTTGGACAAGTAAATGTAAGCACAAGTACAAAAAATTAACAAATGACAAGAAACTGAGTTGTATAAACTTCTGATCAGTTTAAATACAAGTATTTAAAAAATGTTGTCTGTGTTTTGTGACTTTTTTCCGTGTAAGTTCAATTAAAATGGGTGTGTTTTTTTTGGTGAAATGTTGGGCAAACAGTAAACAAACAGTAGGACCGGGACAAATTAAAGAGTTTGTGTGCTTAAAATCTCACTATTAAGTGTCTCCTCTTTTACATTGTGTGCATTTAAGTGTGCATTGCACACTTCAACAGAACTGGCGTCATTTTGCAGCACAATGAAAAATGAAAAAAATAAAAGTTTTTTAATCCTCTGATGACTGGTCTTGGCTACTAATACACCGGCTGGCGGAAGTGTTCTTCGACTTGGCGGAAGAAGCGCCCAGTCCACTGGTTGAGGGAATGGCCGCCGCTGAACTACCATAGCCATGTTGCATCAATGCTGACGTGGAAGGTGATGGACTGCGGTGTGGCCCCTGTTGACTGAGGTAGTACAGCCCAGTGTCGGCCAGTAGATCATCAGTGGTAGTGGAGGCAGAGGCGACGCCCACTTTGACGGCTGTTTTAGCCTGCTTTCCAGAAGATGTAAAAGAGGAGGAGGTTGCTGTTGCTGATGTTGCTGTTGCAGTAGCACCATCTTTGACAATAGATTCACCAGTAGAGCACTTTGCCGTTTTGGACGTTGAAGCTGCAGAAGCCGCTGCTGTCGCCATCGTTGATAAAGTTGAGCTTTTGAGGGCTGCGGCTGACGGAACTTGTGTGGCACTACCCGAGGGCACCTGACTTTGAAACGTAGCTATATCTTCAAAGGAGCAGGCAGACGAGGTGTCAGAGGAGAATCCGTCCGAGTCGTGGTCCGCCTCCTCCTCGCCACCGTCGTCGTCGTTGTTGTTGTTATTGCTGGCCGTCAGCCCCAGTCTTCCCGGCGAGCAGCCGTCGTCCACTGTAGTAGCACCGGTTTCCTTAGTGGCCAATTGGTCGTCGTCGTTGTAGTACCGTTTAGTAGTAGTAGTACCAGGAGAGTTGCCGACGTCTGCACAACAAAAAAGTTACATCATTAAAATTAGAACCCTTTACTTTCTGCGTCAACAAGACCAGATCAGATACCTTTTCTACTTTGCTTGGTAACCGGCTTTGGATTGGCCTCCTCCACGCGGTCGCAGAACTCCTCAAAAGTGGCGCCGTTGAGGTAGCAGATGAGTATGACGGTCATATTGTCGCAGCCAATGCCGCTACCCATCTGACAGTCCGGTGCCAGACAGCGGGTAATTAGCTCCTCGCAGATGAGCACCGGCTCCAGGCGGTAGAGCAGCCGCCGGCGGACGAACTCCACCACCTCCTCGTTGGTCATCACGTCCCAGACGCCGTCGCAGGCCAGCACAATGAACTCCAGGTCGTCGGTGAGGGGGCGCGACTGGACGTCCGGGTAGGCGATGACGATCTGCTCCGTCGCCGACCGCTTCTCATTGCGCTTGAAGACAAAGTCGCCGAAGGCGCGCGACAGGGCGAGATTGCCGTTGACTCGGTTAAACTGCACCCACCCGCCCGCCGACACGATCCGGCGCATCTCATCCGGACAGGTCGGTTTGTGGTCCAGCGAAAGGGCGTCCACGTGGCCGGCAAAGGAGGCTACCGCCCGCGAGTCGCCGATGTTGGCCTGGCAAGAAAGAAGAAAGACAAAAAAGTTGATTAGTTATTTGAACTGGCCATTGTTTGATTGCTCTTGCTATACTAAACTTACACAGTAGATAAGCGAGTCCTTGACTAGCACCGAGACGGCCGTCGAGCCGGCCAGCTCGTCGCGCATCTTCTCATCATTGAACATCATCTCATCAAACTCTACAAAAACCGTCTTCAGGGCCTCTTCAATCTGTCCATCGACGTACAGTTGGTTGCTGCAGATGCCTTTGTACAGGTTCTCCGCCGCATAGTTCGCTACTTTAGCACCGCCGTGACCGTCAAAAACGGCGAAAAATGCCGCATTTTGGTCATCAGGCATTTGGAGGAGTATGGTGTGGGCATCTTCCATGCCTAGTGACAAAAGTATACAGTTAGAAAACAATGTGAAATGTAGTAAAAACATATTTTGCAAAACACTTACTAATGCGCCACCCTTGAATTGATGAAGAGGACACAAGAAAAACGTCATTTTTTTCAGTAGTAGATTCTTTTTCCGTCACAGGCTCAGAAAACGTTTGGCCCATTCTGTTTAAAAAAAGTTTTATTTGATTAAGTATATTTTTTAAAATGTTTTGACGCAAAAACGTAAGTTTAAAACGTTTCATACAATTATATAAAAACAAAACCATTTTTAAACTATAAAAACAATGTTTTTAAAAAATCCAATTGAAATCATTTAAATTAGCTAAAGAAACTGCACTAAACAAATTAAATTTATTTAAAATTAATCTGTGTGTGTTATTATCAAAATATATTTTTTAGTTTTTTGTATTTCAAAAGTTCTACCCGTCATGCACATAACAGACATTTGACTAATTAGAAAAAGTTAAACTTTTTTAGTTTTGTTAAAATTTTTTACAATTATTTTGGGAAAATAATTAATTGAACTAATTTGAATTGCACAAGGTTAGTTAACTTTGTTTTTCAAAAATGTCTTTTTAGTTTAATCTATAAAAATTTTTAACTAGTAAAATAAAAAATTAAAATAATGAATTCTATTATTAACTTAACAAAAATGTTTAACAAAAAATTTAAAATTTAATACTTTATAAACTTTTTTAAACAATGTGTTTTATTAAATGTAATTTTAAAAACAAAAAATTAAGTTTTGCACAGTTTAAACTCAATTTAATTAATTTAAAACAGTATTTTTAATTGTTTGCTTAATTTAAACATTATTAAAAAGAATTTATTTACAACAAAATGTTGTTTTTGAAAACAAAAAATTTAAAATGCATCAGTTACAAGCAAACGTATAACAATTTTTTTAAATCATTGTATTCTGAATCACAAAAATGAAACATAGTCAAACAATTTCACAAAAAAAACATTTAAAATAAACAAAACGATTGTTGTGACTAACTGACCGTTTGTGCAATTGAGCATTAACAACAAATCTATTTTTTGCAACAATAATCAATAGGCGAAACAAAAACTAACACAAAAGTCTACATTATAACAATACAAAAAACAAAGAACATTTACCTTAAAGAATCGAGTGATGATGGTAGCGTCCAGAAAGTAAAAACGAAAATAAAAGAAAAAGATCGATATGTGTTTCAAATTGACTGGCCGTTGGTAGTTTAAAGTTGAATGAGACGTTGTTGAACGTTGAAACCAACCAAAACAGAAGCATGAGATCTAGTGAAAGGACAAAAAATTAAAGTTGCTGATAAAAAAACAGTGAATACGGGATGAATGCAAAAGACAGCCAATCAGGCCGTCTAGTGAATTTTGACTAAAGTGAGTGTGATTGTGTTTGTGTAGGCTTGAGTGGGCAAGTCGGGAATCAGGGGATTTAAGCAAAAAATGATGCTGGCAAACAATCAAGAGTGGCTGAACAACAGCAGCATTTTAATGAAATTAGTTGACAAAAAACATTAAAAACAGAAGAGAAAAGAGGGGAGAGGGTTAAAGCAGCGGCAGGAAACGTGATTGATAGTAAATGATAAAAATGCATGCACAATTTTAAATTAAAACTGTGCAGAAGCCATTATAATATTCAAAGTTAATTAAAAGATGAAAGTTTAAATATTGCATAATTGAATTAGTCAACTTTAAATCTAGAAACTTTACCTTTAAAGTAGAAAATAAAGTTGAAAATGACTAGAAAATGTGTATGATAAATAACACGGGAAATAAAACACACAGTAGAAAATATGTATAACAGAAGAAGTAGTCAAATACAAAACACAACAAAAAGTAAAGAGAAAAAATGATACGTAATGACACACAACGTGCAAAGGTTAGGTAAATGAAAAGTAATAAAAAATAAAAAACGACATGAGTAAAAGATGTCGCCGAATAAAAGGTGAAAACTTTAGTAAAACTGTCAGAAAAAAGAAAGAAAGAGAAAGAGAAAGATAGAGAAAAGAGATGCTACAATAAACAGAAGAGGAGAAAAAGACAACCAATGCAAAAGAAGGAGAGAGAGATGGGTTCACAGAATGTTTCAGGGTATTAACAGCAGGGTAAGGAAGAACAGTTTTTAAAGTAGGCGGAAGAAAGGAAAGGAAAGCAAAAGCGAAGGCAAAGGCAAAGGCAAAGGAGCCATGCTCCTGCCTAGTCGATGACAGCAGCTGCCAAAAGAAAGGAAAGCAAGGCACACACTCTCTCTCCTTCTCTCTCTCACTTTCTTCCACGGGCTAAGATTGAGCCCAAGATAAGATGTGGGCCAGAACAGCTCACCAAAGTTTTGGGTAGACTTAGGGAGAGTGGGGGCTCTCTCTTTTCTTGGACAATTCTGTGTGTGTGGGTCGCACTTACCAGAGAACTATCATCCGCAGGGACAAGCTTGTCTGTCTGTCTGTGTATGTGTGTTGTGTGTTGTGGCAGTTTGCAGTTTTCAGTTGCAGAGTTGTCAGCTGGGGGCAATGCACACAGTGCACGGCAGCGGCAATGAGCTATCACGGGCAACGGTTGCAGTCGCTGCAGCGGCGGCGTCTGTTTGCACAGCCACTGCTAAGTGGCGACGCCGCCGCCGCCGCCGCCGATGCCGTTGCTACCGTCTTTTTCTCCCGTGCAGCTGTAAATGAACCCAAGAGGGAAAAGAAAGTGAAACGAAACCTTGATTCACCATCACTCACTAGTGATCACTCACAGTCACAGGCAAACAACCACTCACAAAGTGTGAAAATGACTAGTTGTGATTACCACGTGTCGGTTGTGGTGTGGTAATTAACGATCTTCAAATGAGTCAAAGTTCACCGGCGTGCTCTTAGCTGGCTTGTTGGCTGGCTGGTGTGTCACTGTCGACAGTTAATCTGAAACTTATTATTCTTTCTATGATACAGAGAAACTGGGAGCCCATACTTTTTGAGAGCTTGCAGAATTGCCCTTTATTACATTAGTTATGCATGCTTGCTTGGCTAATGCACTTGTCATGTAACGCTACTTTAATTTTGTTACGCCAAAACATTTTTGATCAATTTGACATTACATTTACTTTGATGTTGCTGTGGGAATGCATTAGTGTGAATAAAAATGGATACACTTTAACTCTGCAATTTAAAAGTTAAAGTGCTACTGTAAAATATTTTCTTAATTTAGACTTTTGTTGTTTCATTAACAATTAAAAAGTGACATTTAAAGTACATTTTCATAAACATCTACCAAACAGCACTAGCTGCACTGTAATCAAGATGGTCCTTAATAAAACTGCAGTTTGAAGCAATTTTTGTTATGCAAAAAGTAAAACGTTTTATAACTGTAAAACATCAAAAGGTTTTGCCAACATTTAAACGCACTTAGCTGTATACCTGTTGATGTCACTCATACAACTGTAGTGTTGTCATTATCTCCAAACACCACTGTGTACATCCTTGTGCTGTTAATTGACACTGTTTTAGTTAACACTGTTGTTGACGCTGTTACACAACTTAAGCCAGTGCTTTTTAAAATGTAACCAAGTACAGTGCAAAATTGATTTACCTTAGAATGTTTCAAGGTCAATAAAACAGTGCGTTAAAGTGCCAACATTTAATCATCTAATTAGCAATTCAAAACATACCCATTTTGCTCATTGTTGTTTAATTGCTGTAAAATGCTTTTTAGCTTGTTGGATTTCAACTGATATTATTAATGTCGTTTTAATAAATTTTCCGCATTTTTTGTACTTCACTTGCACTTATGTCCGTTTCCTTGTTCATTTATTTTTGCCCAGATGATTATTTGCGTAATCCCAATGTCGTTTTTACCCCGACTGCGCAAATCGCTGTAGCTGCTGTCCTGCAATATCCAATATCCGACCACTGTTACTGGTTGACTAGTCGATAAGTTTTGGGCGGCATCGCTTGTGTGCCTGATGCACTGCACAATGCACACACATTGCCTATCATAGCGGCTCAATCAAAGTTAATCTGCAATTGCTTATCAAGTTGGACACTGTTGCATCGGCAACCGTGTGCTTTAACTGTCGTTTTCCATACGATTCACATGATTCAGCAGTTCTCTGTTTATTTGACGGCAGTTGTACTCTTTGTGTACTCTTTACTAAGCAAATATAACTCTTTTTGTTTGCATATGACACTACCGGTGTTGCCTCACGTGCATCAACTTTAAAATTTAGCAGCATTTAAATTGTAAACATCATTAATAATGAAATTTTTACACAAAAATTAGTTCATTTTTAAACACATGCCNTGCCTCACGTGCATCAACTTTAAAATTTAGCAGCATTTAAATTGTAAACAACATTAATAATGAAATTTTTACACAAAAATTAGCTTATTTTTAAACACATGCCTTTTAATTAAACTTTTTAGGTACGCAGGCGCATTGTGATTTAAAAGTAGCCAAGAGTTTAGCAACGATTATTTTTCAGAATAAAAAACTGCTTGATTTATCAGCAAAACATAACATTTTTATTGTTGATAAAAGCCTGTGCCACTACATTTGTGCACTTTAAGTGCAAACTAAGTTTGTACTCCTCAATACAAACTATGCAATAAGCCTTGCGTCTATTTATACGACACCAGTGGCCTCAACCTTTGAGCCGCATCTGATAAAAAATGCAATTTAAAAAAGTGATTTGAGCCAGTGGAAAGGACAAACAACTTCCATAGCTACCTTGGTTGTCAACAGATTTAGTGATTTTAATGCCACAACAGATTAGCCCACCACTAACCCAAATGGAAATGAGCACAGTGTACAACAAAAAATTTGCACTCTAAGTTACAACAAAAAAACTGACAAGTTTATCTTATCAGTCAATCAGTGGCATACGGTGCCAGCGGTTTCATCTCTGCAACGCCGATGGTCATCAGCAACCACTACAACAATGTTTCCTCCTTTTTCCCCCACCGGCCAATACCCGCCTACTAGTATACCAAAAACATTATGGTGCAACCACCGGTCGACTTAAAGAGGCAGCAATGTTATATAAACACAAGGACTGGTATTGAACACCGACAAAACTCATTCTTGTTGTTTAGTGATTGAGCGAGCAAGAAAGTGCCCCACCATCAATGGTTCCCTATTCATAGCTGGGCTCCATCCATCCATTTTACATTTTTTCACTCTCTTGCCCTTTCCACCAACAAACCATTCTCATTGTCAACTATCTGCTGCCAGCATTACAACCACAGTCACGAGCAAAGTATTACCAAGCCCATATTAGTACTACATCTTTTGTAGCACCTAAAACCCCAGATAAACGTTCTTAATCGAAAGTTTTTACCATAGTCTATTTGCAAAGCAAACAGCAAAAAAACTTTAGAATTGCAGTAGTTTGAAGCTCCAATTGTCGATGGCCGTTTCGCTTACGACACTGAGAAGATTTGATAATAATCCTCGTTTGCTAATTATTTGAAGTGCTCCAAGTCTCAAGAGTTTTGATCTCTGCTGATGCTGCCACTACTACTAATACTACTATTACTTTAACAGCATTTTCTCTTTTTGCCTAATTAATCTACTTATCACTTAACGGCAAATCAATTTTAAACCTCCTCCAGAGCAATCAGATAGCCATTTTTGTTATACTCTTGCAAAAGTAAGAAGTTGCTCAGTTGAGGGCATTTTTATTAGCAATTGTTTGTTAAAACAGCAATTTTTTCAACATCCAACAGTACTAGTCTCGTAACAACAAGCATTTTTTAAAAATACAACAATTACAACTAACAAATGACATCAAGTTAACACATAAAATTGTTGTTTGCTACATTTTTCAGTCTACATACATGAATTCAATTTTAGAAAACAACTGCTGTGATTACAAAACTTAATTAATTAACCAAACTTGCCAAAATGGATGGATTTTGTGGTTCCAAATATTGGGTAAATATTTATTTGTTTCAGTTGCATATTTGTGCACTAACTAACAATTAATTACATTATTTTTTAACCAGGACCTTGATTTGACGTGGAATGCGACAAAAAATCCCGATTTCACGTTTTGTTTTGAAGAGACCTCCCTTGTCTGGGCGCCATGTGCATTTTTGTGGTTGCTCAGTTGGCCACACGTCATCAGTGTAATGTGGAAGGAGTCAAAAAGAAATAGAGGAAAATCTAATAGCAAAAATGATGCCATAATAGAAAAAACTAAAAATGTTCTTCAACTGCCCATTCCATGGACCGTCTATAGTATTGTCAAAATGGTAAATATTTGCTTTTATGAAAAGCATTTTCATCAGTATTTTTTTAACAAAAACAACTATTTTTAGGCAATTTCATTTAGTTTGGTTATTTTGGCTGTACTTGAGTTGCTCTCAAATGTACTTCAGAAGAATGATCTTTTTCCTGTATATCCAGTACACTGGCTATCGCCAGCCATCAAAATTATCACTTTTGTAAGTTTTTGGTACTTTTTACATTGATAAAAGCGGTTAAAATAACTTTGTTGAACCATCCGCATTACCAGGTATATCTTGCGTACATAGTCAACCTGTACCGCCGAAATGCAGTCTACTCATCTGGGCCCATTTTCCTCTTTACTCTTCTCTACATGCTGTACAGTATTGTCACCTTCCGGTCTATGCTGCTTAAACTGTTCAGTGATGTAAGTAGTCTAGTCAAAACTTTGAAAAAAATTTTCATATTTTCTAATACAAAAACTTCTCTTTTTTTGTTGCAGAGTCCCTACTACCCCGAGTTCAGCACGTTGTACTTTGTCAGTCGAGTAGTCAGTTTTGTCTTCTCAATTGGCCTCTTTCTCATCTGCTGCTTCAATGAGTACACGCCCGATAAGAAGCTCGACCCGCACCAGACGTCCGGCTTCCTCAGCCGAATCACCTTCTGGTGGTTCACGCCGATGATCCTCAAGGGCTACCGGCGGCCGCTGACGGAGAACGACATGTACAAGATGAACCTGGTCAACACCAGCAAGGAGGTGCTGAACAACTTCGAGCAGAAGCTGGACACCATTCGCACGGAAAAGATCATCAAGAAGATGAAGACGGAGGCGTACAGCGGCTACCAACACTCGGAGGCGGAGAAGAGGTCGGTGCAGATCAACGTCGCCATCGTCATCATCAAGGTCTACTGGATGCAGCTGCTGGGCATTGCGATGCTCAAGTTTGTCGCAAGCTGTCTCACCTTCGGCAATCCAGTCATTCTCGACTTTCTGATGACCTTCATGTCGGACACCAGCGGGTCGCAACCGACCTGGCGGGGCTTCCTCTTTGCGGCGATGATGTTCGTCTTCCCCCTCTTTGAGTCGGTCATCAACAGCCAGCACGACTACTGGATGAACATACTGATACTGCGCATTCGCACGTGCATGATCTCCATGATCTACAATAAGAGCTTGCGGCTGTCCACCTACGGGCGCCGCAATTACTCCACCGGAGAGATTGTGAACATCATGTCGGTGGATTCGCAGCGGCTGACTGATTTCCTCCTTTGGGCGAACTCCATTTGGGCGGCTCCGCTGCAGTTCGGCATTGCCATCTACCTGCTCTGGCAGCAGGTTGGCTGGGCCTCAATGGCCGGGCTGATCTTCATGTTCATCCTCCTGCCCTTCAACGGCTGGATCAGCGCCCGCATTCGCAACAACCAGATGAAGGTGATGAAGGAGAAGGACAAGCGCACTAAGCTGATGAACGAAATTCTCAATGGAATGAAAGTGCTGAAGCTGTATGCATGGGAAAACTCCTTCAAGGATAAGATTCAGTCGCTGCGAGACTACGAGTGCAAGGAGCTGTACAACATTGCCTACCTCAGCGGTTTCATGTTCTTCGCCTTCTCGGCGGCGCCCTTTTTGGTAAGCTTTCTTTTTGGCTTGCCAACATTTTTCCCAAGTTTAAAACCATTTAGTAACTATATAATTTTTTTCTATCAGGTCGGCCTGCTCACCTTTGCCCTCTACGTGCTGAGCGGCAATGTCCTCGATCCGAACAAGGCCTTCGTGTCACTGTCGCTCTTCAACATCATCCGCGTGCCGATGGGCATGCTGCCGATGCTGCTGTCTATGGGAGCAATGGTAAGAGCTTTAGACAAAAAAAGCGAAACATTTTTGAATTTAATTAACAAATGTTGCCCCCTTTTTGTTGTTGAACACAGTGTCTAGTATCGATTCGCCGACTGAACAACTACCTAAACTCTGAGGAGCTGGACGAGGACGCCATTCGGTACATGCCCGACCAGGAGTGCGCCATCAGGGTAAAGGATGGCACCTTCACCTGGCACCGAAACGGCACCGCCTCCCTGAAGGACATCAACCTGGAGGTGCCACACGGCAAGCTGGTGGCGATGGTCGGCTCGGTTGGCTCGGGCAAGTCCTCCCTCCTCAGCGGCGTTCTCGGCGACATGGAGAAGATCGGGGGGAGCGTCAATGTCGACGGGCGAATCGCCTTTGTGCCGCAGCAGGCGTGGGTGCAGAATGCGACGTTGCGAAAGAATGTCACCTTCACGAATGCCTTCGATGAGAAGCGCTACAAGAAGGTGATCAAGGCGTGCTGCATGGAGCCGGACATTAACATTCTGGCTGACGGAGACCAGACGGAGATTGGAGAGCGGGGTATTAATCTCAGTGGTGGACAGAAGCAGCGGATCAGCTTGGCGAGGTAATTTAAACTGCTGAAATTGTTTTTAAATTGAAAGCTTTAAAAACTAAACCTTTTTTCATTTATTCTTCTTTAGAGCCGTGTACGCCGACGCACAGATCTACCTGCTGGACGATCCGCTCAGCGCCGTGGACGCCCACGTCGGCAAGAAGCTGTTCGCCGATGTGATTGGCAATAAGGGCCTGCTGCGAAATAAGACCCGTCTCCTGGCGACGCACCGCATTTCAGTGCTGAGCGAGTGCGATGAGATCATCGTGCTGAAGGACGGCGGCATCAGCGAACGGGGCACCATGGACCAGCTGATCGAGGAGAAGGGCGACTTTGCGGAGTTCCTCGCCGAGTACCTGGTGGAGAACATGGACAACAGCGGCGACGACAGCGAGGACAATGAGCTGATGAAGAGTCTGGCGGAGAAGGTGAAGCCCATTTTGGAGCGGTCAGAGTCGTTGCGCTCCAAGGGCAGCCTCACCCGGTCGGACAGTGTTCGCAGCAGTTTGGGACGACCGGCGGGCGGAATTGCCCGACAGCAGTCCCAGACTAGTGTTCGCCGACGGCGAGAGTCCTCCAGTGCAAAGGAAGCTTCTAAAGAGATGTCTAAGGAGCAACAACTTAAAAAGAAAGGTGGCCCCGGAGAAGAGAAGGTAGGCGGCAAGGGCAAGGGCAAGGGCGCCGGAAAGCTGATCACCGAGGAGTCTGCAGCGACCGGTTCAGTGAAGCTGAAGGTGTACATCAAGTACTTTCAGACGGTGGGCACTGCAATCACCGCGCTCATCATCGGCAGCATGGTCGTCTCCAATGTCTTTCAGATCTTCAGCTCACTGTGGCTCAGCTCGTGGAGTAATGACGGCCTCGATCCGGTAAAGGCAAACGACACTGATCTGCGAAACTGGCGTCTGGGCGGTTACGCCGGCTTTGGAGCGGGAGAGATTGTCGCCAGCCTTTTCTCCACTATTGTCTTGAACATTGCCTGCATTCGAGCCTCTAAACTGCTGCACAATGAGATGCTCGCCTGCATCATGTTTGCACCGATGGCCTTTTTTGGTAAGTGTTCTTTAACAAAAGTGTTTGTCTCTAGCAACGATTTTTACTATTTTTCCCATTTTTGCCCTGCCCAGACACGACACCTATCGGTCGAATACTGAACCGCTTCACAAAGGACGTCGACGTCGCCGACTCCTCGATGGTTTTCAACCTCCGCATGGGCATCATGCAGTTCTTCCGCACCATCGTCGCTTTTCTCATGATCAGCCTGGAGGCGCCGATCATCCTGGCGGCCATCGCCCCTATCATCATCCTCTACTACATCATCCAGCGGGTGTACATCGCCTCCTCGCGACAGCTGAAGCGCATTGAGTCCACCACCCGGTCGCCCATCTACAACCATTTTGCCGAGACGGTGAACGGGGCGAGCAGCATTCGGGCGTACGGCGTTCAGGAGCGCTTCATCGCCGACTCGAACAACCGCATCGACCACAACAACACCTGCTTCTACGCCAGCATCACCGCCTCTCGGTGGCTCTCCATTCGACTGGAGTTCTTCGGCTACACCATCGTCTTCCTGGCGGCCATCTTTGCGGTGCTCAGCCGGGGCACGGTGACGCCCGGCATGGCCGGTCTGGCCATCAGCTACTCGCTGAACATCACTGGAGTGCTGGGCATGTTCGTGCGGGCGGCCACCGACCTGGAGACGAACATTGTCTCCATTGAGCGGTTGATTGAGTACTCTGAGGTGGAGTCAGAGGTAGGTTTTTGAGTGTTTTCAGGTGTACAACTTTAGGCCTGACCATATTTTCCTTTCTTTTCAGGCGGCGTACTACCGCGAGGAGAAACGCCCCCCATCCGGAAAATGGCCCAAAGCGGGGGAGATCAAGTTCGAGAAGTACAGCACCCGTTACCGACCTGGCCTTGACCTAGTGGTGAAGGACGTCAACTTCAGCATCCGCTCGCAGGAGAAGGTGGGCATCGTGGGGCGAACCGGCGCCGGCAAGTCCAGCCTCACGCTGGCCCTCTTCCGCATCATTGAGCCTTCGGGCGGGAAGATCGTCATCGACGAGGTGGACGTCGGCCAGCTGGGCCTGTACGACCTGCGCAGTCGCATCACCATCATTCCGCAGGATCCGGTCCTCTTCACCGGCTCACTGCGCATGAACCTCGACCCTTTTGAGGTGTACTCCGACGAGGAGATCTGGCGGTCGCTGGAGCTGGCCCACCTGAAGGACTTTGTCCAGTCGGTGGAGAATCAGCTGCTGTACAAGATCACCGAAGGCGGCGAGAATCTGTCCGTCGGCCAGCGGCAGTTGGTGTGCCTGGCGCGGGCGCTCCTGCGAAAGTCGAAGATTCTGGTGCTGGACGAGGCGACGGCCGCCGTGGACATGGAGACGGACGGGCTGATTCAGGAGACGATTCGGGCGGAGTTCGCCGACTGCACCATCGTCACCATTGCCCACCGCCTCAACACCGTCATCGACTACGATCGCATTCTGGTGCTGGACCAGGGTCGGGTGATCGAGTACGACACGCCGTCGTCGCTGCTCGCCAAAAAGACCTCCACCTTCTACTCAATGGCAAAGGACGCGAAGCTGGTGTAAGAGGGGGACCAAGAAGGCAGCAAACCATTTTTGCGCACAAGAACAGTTAATGTCTTCTTGTTTCAAGTGCACACATTTCTCTCTCTCTCTCTTTCTCTCTCTTTCTTTCTCTTTTTCTCATCCTACTCATTGCTTATTATTTCACTTTCCATTTCCTTGTTTTGTTTATTGACTTTCACCATCATCATCATTTTTTATAAACCATTTTTACCCATGACTTTGAATAAAAAAGCTGTAAAAACAAGAAAAAAAAGTTTGTGCAAGTTTGTTCCGGTTTGTAAGCGCAAATTTTTAGCTCAATTTTCCAAAACACATTGTGGAAGCTTTCCTTTTTTCTTTTGCTGCGTATCATTTTTCAGAGAGTTAAAGTAGCAATGACAAAAAATAAATTTTGCAAATTTTGCTCAAGGTTTTAGCCGTACAGCAGAGTGTAGAGTGTAGTGTTGCTAACCCTCAACAAATATTATTTTCAAACAACCGCAATCTTCTTTTTTTAAGAAAAAAGATTCTTTGGCGGTCAGATGATAAATGGTGCATTGTGTTACCAGGCCCAGATACTACCGGTTTTTCTTTAGCAGAAGAGCAGCCGAAGAGAAGAGAAGGAGACTTATTATTAATGAGCACATATCGATCAGTGAAATTTGAGTTGAGCTGTTGGTTGCAGCAATCGGTTGGTCGGTCGGTTGGTTGGTTGGTTGGTTGGTTCCCTTGCTGCGCTCATTGAAAAACAAGGCGTCGCTGACAGCGTCTAATCGTTAAATCTGTCAATTGCCCATTGCCATTGCCAATGATCGACTTTTTCCCTTTTGCCTATGCTGATGCCTCTTCTTTTGCCTCGCTCTCTCTCTCTCTCTCTCTCTCTTGCAGGCGTTCGTGATCAAGTTCACGTTTTTAGCTTGATGCACTTTTCATGTTCTGTTCCGTTTCTAAATTTGCCCAAAGAGTGCTCCTTTCTAAGAAAGCAAAGTTTTTTGGCGGGAGGCTGTTGTGTTTGGGAGGGAGACAAGCTTCAAAAGTCTCTGCCTGCTCAAAACAATCTAATTATCAGCTTTTGTATCGATACAGCTAGCAATTAACATCTTAAAAAGATGACACGATAAGAAGAAGAAAAAAGGAAAGACAAAATCACATGCTATCTTTTTGCACTCACTGACTGAAGCAAAGTGAACTTTAGTGCACTGCAAAGTCTCACTGTGTGACATTAAACAGCAGCAGTGGCGGCAGTTGCCTTTACAGGGAAAGTGCATTGCAACAAAGTGTATATATGAATGATGGTAAATTATCACTCTAATTAGTACCCTGTGATAGAGTTGAGGGCACTTTGCACTAATGACCTGATCACGTTTGCACGGCCCAGACCATTTTGTTGGGCTGATGAAAACAACGGCAGAGCAGTAGTAGTAGTAGGTGAGCAATAAAAACTGCCAGATGCCTGCTGACTTAAGCACCGCCAATCGAAACTAAACTAAACTGCCGCCTGAATGATTGTAATGTTTCTCTTCTGCCGTTATTAAATTACTACAACAGCAGACAAATTTCATTGCTGTTTTCTTCTTATCAGTGTGTCCTCTCTTCCTTTCACTTTCTCTCTCTAGAGAGGGCCAGTGTGTGACTAGTAAGATTGACTGACTAGCTGATAAGCTAAGCAGAGTTTTTAGGCAAACAGCAAAAAAGCTGCAGCAAGCTGCTTTTCGCATCATCGTCATCGTCATCGTCGCCGGTGTTGTTGTTGCCAGGTGGCAAGTGTGCCTGCAATATGCCCTCCTAAACACCGCCGTACACTAGCGTGCTCAGTCCTCTTTTTCCNCTAGCTGATAAGCTAAGCAGAGTTTTTAGGCAAACAGCAAAAAAGCTGCAGCAAGCTGCTTTTCGCATCATCGTCATCGTCATCGTCGCCGGTGTTGTTGTTGCCAGGTGGCAAGTGTGCCTGCAATATGCCCTCCTAAACACCGCCGTACACTAGCGTGCTCAGTCCTCTTTTTCCTTCCTTTCTTTCTTTCTTTCCCCACCAGCAGTGCACTTTTCCAGTGCACTACCATATTCACTGCCAGCTCACATCGTCCGTCTTTTGTAGGTTGCTCATTTAGTTCATTTGTAGTTTCCTTCCTCTTGGTGTTTCCTTTATGTTGTTGCTGTTGCTGCTGTTGCTGCCGCCTTTTCATTACCACTGCACTTTTGGGCTGCACTTTTCTTGCCTGCCTGACTTTGCATGCTATCTATCTAGCTCTACTAATGCCGCTTTCCCTTTCAGCTGGGCTTGCACTGATCTGATATGTCATTTAGGCAGGACCATCTATCAACAGTCAACAGTTCAGCCTCTACACTGTTGTTGTTCGGCACTGCACGCTACTTTTTCTATACTTATACTTTTCTTTTCTTTTTTCTGTCCTTTTCTTTCTTTTTTTTCTGGCTGCTGCTCGCTGTCCATCCCTGCCATGGTCAGAGTTTTGCTGGCTCGCGTCACTCAGTTAATCCGATTTGCCCATCTTTCTATCTTTTTACTTTTTTTACTTTTTTTCTTCAATCAAGTATTTTTCTCTTTTTCTGCTCCATCTTGTTCTATTTTTTGCTCCATTTCATCGATGACAACCAACTATCAGTGCAACAAGTTTGCGTTTAACTTTACTTCTGCTCAATTTATTCACTAGCACGTGCATACACTGTAAAGTTTCATCCCCTTTTTAATTGAAAAATATTGTTCAGGTATATAACTGTTTTAGTTAGAAAAATTAAAGACCATTTGTTGCTACATTTATTTATGCCCACAGTTTTAATTTGTTTCACTTAAATGATAAATATTTGTGCTCATTACTAGCTTTGATTGTTTTTTGTAATTTTATTTCAACCTTTTTCCCAATGCCAAATTAATTAAACAATTGTACTTTATCTATCTAGAATACAACGGCCTAATACAGCACCCACACACACCAAAAACGTCAAAATCAATAAACTACGTAAGTTTAAAACTTGTTTTTATCTTTTTATTTTTTGTTTGGTGTATACACACACATAAACTTTGTTTGATAACACATTTCATATTTGTGAGTGAACAATATGAAATGGTCAAACAGGCAATTGTTGGCGGCAAAACCCAAACATGCGGTTTTCTTTAGCTTAGTTGGCACTCACCGGCGAAACTCTGCCGTCACAATGCCCCTCTCTTTTCTTTCAATAGGCTTAGACATCAGGTTCAGCATCCGGCACTGGCAGTTGAACCTATTGACAACTGCAACTGGGAACAAAAAAAATGCACTGCTTTTTTCAGCTAGCTCCAGCGCTGGACAATGCCATAGTAACGAGATACTGCATTCTTTTTCCCTCTTTTTTCTCGCCAATACCGGTGCCAGAAAAAAAGATGCTTACGTCTGTCTCTTTTCTGACAAGGTCGTGTAGATAAGAAACACAGTGTTTTGTCTCCTCATACTTTGCTGACATGATGGTGTCATGGTGCTAATCAGGACAACAGCAGGCATTAAAGTTAAAAATGTATTTAAAAATTTAAATAATATTACTGCCAAAAGGTTTTTGTATTTTTTGATGAAAAGTTAAGTTTTCGACTAGTTGTTTTAACGCCAACAAAACGTAGCGAATGACTAACTTAAAAAACAAAAAGCAGTGCAATGGGTAAAACAGAACCAAATGCAAGACTGTGCCCTTGATGTCAGAGCCAACTTTGAAACACCCAAATTTAGCTAATAATAGTAATTGATACTGTTTGACTGGCTGACTGACAACATTCAATTGATCACTAGTCATTACTGGCGATGATCATTACCGAAACGAACTTCAGCACAAAATGAGCAGACGGTCATTAGTTAGCGTTTTAAAAATATTTTTATTTTGTTCTACGCAAATTTTTGTGGCTAAAACCAAAGTTTTACTATTATGTCTGCGTAACTAAATTTGCTCTAATAACTAGTCATTAACAATGATTACATATTTAAATTTTGCTATTGTTGGTATTTTGTGTTATAAAACGAGCTTTTGTTTTATTCAGCTAGTTCTTTGTCATTTATTTTAATAGCACAATTAATAATGTCTGCTAATTTATACTTTGTTAACTGTTCGCACATCATTACTTATAAATTTTGCTAATGAGGAAACTTGCACAGCATTAATATTGCTCTGCTTGAAGGTTCGCTTGACTGAAAATCTCATGAATGGACATGATCGACGCGAGGTGTGAGATGTCACGTGAAAACACACACACAAAAGATTGTAAGCAAAGATATCACCGTGTAAAGCAAGCAAAGCATTTGATGTGAGTGACACTGATCATCTGCTTGAGCTGGCCATCGTCACTGTCATCATCATCATCTGATCGACAGTAGAGGCGATTGCACCTTAACTTAAGATAAATGATGCCGTCATTTGCTTTAATTTCTTGCTCATGCGAAGGTTCTTCCACCCATGTCACATGGCATCTTCCTTTTTTCTTTTCTGATCCCTTTGCTAGAGGTCCTTTTAAGTATAAACTTACGTTTCAAGTTCAAAACTTTTTTGGATTTTGCCAATAGAGCTAATACTGCTGCTAAATGTTTTTGGTAGTTTAGAAGCGTGCCAGTCTACATTCGGTCCGCTGTTTAGTGCACTTTAGAGCAAAATGTTATTGTTTTGTTTTTGCCGAACCCTTCAGCAGCATACCACATCCTGGTGCACTGCTATCATAGCCGATCATCATTAGCATTTCCTCAACTCTCTGCACTCTCTCTCTCTCTCTCTCTCTCTCTCTCTCTCTACCAAACGAGTGCAGAGAAATGAACAACCGCCATTGCATCATCTTTCCTTGTTTCATCATGCTTTTAACTGAACTACCACTTGGCAGTGTAGAGCAGCAGTAGAGGTACTCATTAGGCATCAGAAAGGCACACACGCACACACTCACCAACAAACAAACACACGCGCCATGTGCCGCAGGGCTTTTCCTCGAGGCAGTAGTAGAAGAGAGAGAGAGAGAGNGAGAGAGAGAGAGAGAGAGAGAGAGAGAGAGAGAGAGAGAGAGAGAAAGTCCGACTGATTACAAAGTAGAGGTACTGCAAAAAGAGAGAAAGAGAGGAATTGGACATTGAACATACATATGGAGACACACATGCTAGGCTCATCACAACCACCACTACTACTCTTCTTCGTTTTCTTCTTCTTCCTCTTTTCTATCACTCTTTCAGTGCAGCACTACTCTTCGGTGCTCTTTTGGTACACAAACGCATTCACTCCATGCACCTCAACAGGTAGCCGGGATCATAATAAGTGCTTACAGTGAAAGCAGCAGTAGTATCACACATTAACTGCTGCTACTGCTATTGCTGCAACACCATTGCTACCGCCTCTGCTGATAATTCTGCTTATTTTAAACTTGTTGTTTTAAAGCTTGGCGCGCGCGTGCGATTCAATCGTTTCATTCGTTCAGTGTTCTATCAAACAGTAGCACCGTAACTTAAAAAAAGTAAAGAGCAAAAATTTGATTCTCTTTTTGTCTTGTTTTTCTCAAATTTTTATTGCAAATTTATAATTGGTAAGCATTTTTTACAAAAACAAGTTTTTAAAATAGAATATGTTTGTTTAAATTAAAACATAATAACTTGAAACAAATTCGTTTTGCTAGAACCCCAAAATTGTTTTTTTTTGTTAAAGTAAAACAATTATTAGTTTTACAAAATTTGATGTTAACTATTTTTCCAATTTTAATGATGCACTTAAAGATATATTTTTTATCTTTGAAAATTTTTTTAATCAAAGTTGTGTTTTATTTGAAAAGCGAGTACTTTGTAGATGAATCATCATTAACAAAAATCATACGATTTTTATCTTTTGTAAGTTTGGTTTGTACAAAACAGTTTTTAATTGCCAGTAGGTTATTTTTAATTGTTTAAAATGCATTTATGAATATAAAATAACTTGTTTGAGTTTAGTTAAATTAGTATTTTGTACTTTTAACAATGTTTTAATCTACAAAATGTTTTTAGTTTTTTGAGTAGTTATCAATTTTGTTTGTTTAAATTTATTTACACACTGACCATCATAGATTTGCGCTAACAAGCAAAAATCTGTTTTTTATCAAGCCGATACATGTAATTTTGCTTGTTTTGCTAACCACTTCCTGCAATCAATCTTAACATTTACATCATCAAAAACTGTTAACGGTTTTTATCGTTATGTTTGATGTTCACCAAAACGGAAAATAGGTCGTACTTGGTTTACTTAATGCTGTGAAGCAGTGATAAAAGCAACGCTAACAAATTTTTGTTTTTTAGTCATATAAGACACTCTGATATTTAACGAAACCAAAATATTTTGATACAGTAAAAATACTAATCAATGAAGTGCGACAGTATGAACGGCATTTTGTTTAGCTGAACTTTATTTGTTTACAGTTAAAAAATCAAAGTTAAGCACGCACCCTTAATAATTGCACAATAATTTTGTGTCGAAAAGATAAAAAGAATACAACCCATAAAAACCAGCTACACATTTTACAGCTAAATTTTTCCAGACAGAAACATTTTCCTTCTTCTATCAAATGTTAAAACTTTAAGCAATTGCGTGCTGAACAACTTTACAATTTCTTTTTTTTTATTATTTTTATTCAGATTCTAGAACTCAACAACAATTGCAGTACATTAAACATTAAACACCACCAAAAACTTTGCCGATTTGAGTGTTATTACACTGGTGAAAAAGAAGAAGAAGAAGAAAAAGACAAAAACAAGACTTTTCACACAGCAACCACTTCACTTCACAGCAATGGAGCCGCAAGAAAGTAGCGAGCTGGCGGCAAATGATGGCGGCAGTTTCCGTTCATTTGGCTGCCCGTTCTCCAACGGCAATGGCTTTGCATCGTCCACCAGGCAAACTAATGGTGGCGGTGGTGCTGCTGCTGTTGCAATGAATGGTAATGGTATTGCCTCGTCGCCGTCGCACAACTCCGCCGCTGCACCGGACAACTACCACATTCGCCTGCATGTTAATGCCTCTCGTGAGATACCTAAAGGCGGTATGCTCTACGGAGACTACCTTCAGGTAAAGGAGACTACCTTCCTTACGCTTATGTTATTACCATTTTACTGCACACATTCTTTAACCATTTTTAAAATTGCAGCAAATTTTTTTCGCAATTTTTTCTATGTTTTAAACAAAAACAACTTTTTTCCTTCTTATTATATTTTTGCAGATCGACAAACTGCTTTCCTGCCAGGAGCCGGTGACTCGCATGGCTGGCAATGAAGTCCACGATGAGCATCTTTTTATCATCACGCACCAGGCGTATGAGCTGTGGTTCAAACAGATTATCTTTGAGATTGACTCCGTCAGGGAGATTATGACCAATCGCATTCGAGATGAGGCCAACCTGCTCATTGTCACCTCTCGACTTAACCGAGTTGTGCTCATTTTAAAAGTAATTTGTTTGTAATTTGATTTAACTGTTTTTAAACTTGGTAATGTTTTATTTCCCAATGTATCTTTTCATCCCTTCTCCTTCTAAAACAGCTTCTCGTCGATCAGGTGACCATTCTCGAGTCAATGACGCCGCTGGACTTTATGGAGTTTCGAGACTTTCTCTCGCCGGCGTCCGGCTTTCAGTCGGTGCAGTTCCGCCTGCTGGAGAACAAACTGGGCGTCCGTAATGACCTGCGCACCAACTACGGCAAGTCAAACTATTTAAAAATATTCGAAGACCAAGAAGTGATCAGCATCATCAAACAGTCAGAGGATGACTTTTCGCTGTGCGACCTGCTGCAGCAGTGGCTGGAGCGCACTCCCGGCCTGGAGGAGGAGGACTTCTGCTTCTGGGAGAAGTACCGGGGGGCAGTGTCCAGTCTGCTCGACGACAAGAAGGCCGAGGCGGAATCGCAGGCGGACGAGGCTGAGAAGGCACTCCAGCTCAGTGAGTGGAAACGCAAACAGGAGCTCTTTGAGTCGGTTTTTGACGTGAAGAAGCACAACGCTCTAGTGGCTCGAGGTGACCGGCGATTCAGCCACAAGGCACTCCAGGGAGCGCTGATGATTTCGCTGTACCGCGATGAGCCACGCTTCAATCAGCCCTTTCAAATTCTCCTCCTTCTGATGGACATTGACTCGCTGATCACTAAGTGGCGAAGTAAGTGGACAGAAGGGAGAGGGAGGGGGGAAATCGTTACACATATATGTCTTTTTCAAGCATTTTAAACTCTAGCCTTAAAAGCTCTTTTTTCTATTTGATTAACTCTTCACTAACTTTTTTTTCCTCTGCCATTTCTTTTGACAGGCAATCACGTGGAAATGGTTCTGCGTATGATTGGTAGCTCTCAGTTTGGCACCGGCGGCTCCAGTGGTTATCAGTATCTCCGCTCCACGCTGAGTGACCGGTACAAGGTGTTTGTCGATCTGTTCAATTTGTCCACTTTTCTCATTCCTCGACATGCCATACCGCCACTGTCAACGCTTATGAAGAAGCAACTTTCATTGCGAAACGATGGCAACAGCAGTGATGGCCATGCTTGGTCTTGCAAAACAGAAGATGAAGCTAATGCCGCTAAATAGAATTAGCGCCAAGTTTATTGTTATTTGCCTATGCATATGCAAAGTTATCATTGTTCAATTTTTATTTTGTCCATATTTGCTAACAATATTTGCAGATAAAATAACCAATCAACTGGATAATCAGTTTATTTTAATATATAGCCTCTCAGTAATTTAAAAAAAGTAAATTTTTTGCTTAAAATTTATATGATTATTAATAAATATTACAATAAAATTATATTGTTTCAAACATTTAGTTTTAATTGTTTACTTAATAAATTATGTTTTAATAAAAATGTTTTATTGCAAACAACAAGCAATAATAAACAAAATGCTTTATTGACAAAAATTTTTTATTTTTACAAACATACAATTTTAATTTGTTTTTTAAAAAATAATAAAAAAAGTTAAATTTTGTTATTTGATTAAATAATAATTTGTGGTGACTAAAACTGACACACACTGCTTTTAAAAATATAGAATTTTCTTGGTAACCATTAATAAACAAATCAAACTTTATTTATTCCAGTATGTGAATTTTTATTTTTCAAACAATCTTACTTTTTAATTTTTGAAATTTGCAAAAGTGTCAGTTCTCTTGTTTGCTATAGAGCAAATAGTAAACCATGTAGATTTTTATCTGTTTAAAACAAGTTTTTATATAAAAATTTGCTAAGTTAATTAAATTTGGTTGTTTTTGCGCAGTAGCCTGGCAAATACATAAACTAATATTTAATTATGCTACAAAAAAGTTTTAAATTGGTTTTTTTTAAAATTGTTTTATTAAAATTTTAAAAAAGTTAACTAAAAAATAATTTTTTAGTAAGCAATAACGCAAAATTGCTTGTAATTAGTCTACATTGTATTCACAACGTAATCTAAGTGCAATACAAGCTTATAAACCGATTAGTAGTGCTCGATTTAATAATCTCTACGATTTAATAATTTTACAACTCCTATAACAACCATAAATTTGTTTAATTTACTAAAAAACAGCTTTTATAAATGATCAAAAATCTGTTGAACTATAATTCATT